GATAATGTGCTCTAAAGCACTTCAGATACAACAGCATGAGATAATTTACATGAGGTTTTGTAGATTTATTCAGAACATTAAACTAGGATTTCTTTTTGTATGGACTTCATTATGTTTCCTGCTCATATGCAGGTAGGGTGCGAAAGCATCCCCTGTGGTGCTTCTTGGTCCCCCATGGGGCTGATTTTGGCTGGCCAGAGGAAGGCAGGACCAGAGCGTTGCCTCAGCCTCCCTCCCCTGTTCTCCGGCCAGCCAGGGGAATGTGGGGCTGATTCCACTCCTCACCTCCAGGAGCGAGGCGGGGCTGGGCCTCACTCCTGGGGGGAAAAGAGTGGGAAATCAGCCCCAGCCTTCCCCCGACCAGCCAGAGGACGCTTAGGGAACGTCTAGACTACAGGCTTTTGTCGACAGAAGTTTTGTCAACAGATACTGTCGACAAAGCTTCTGTTGACAAAGAGCGTCTACACTACATTCAGTTCTGTCGACAAAGCAAGCTGCTTTGTTGACATGGCAGTGTAGATGCAAAGGACAGTTTAGATGCAATAACGCTTTCTGTTGACAGAACTCTGTCGACAGAAGGCGTTATGCCTTGTAAAATGAGGTTTACCAGCGTCGACAAAACTGCTGAGTTCTGTCGACGTTATGTCGACAGAACTCAGCGGAAGTGTAGACGCAGGTATAGTTTTGTCAACAAAAGTCCACTTTTGTCGACAAAACCCTGTAGTCTAGACACACCCATAGGGGACCATAAGGGGCTGCGTTCATACCCTGGCAGTCTCAGGTTACAAAAAAAAGCATTCCGCCCCAGAAATTCCTGCGTATAGGTCTGTGTTTTGTGGCTCTTCCTTTAAATAGATTTTCTGTGATCAAGCTTGAATGCCTGTCTATAAATACCTTTGCCAAATGGCAGTCTTGCTTCCTGGTAAAAGCTAACATTGAAAACAAAGGGAATTTTGCAGCATGTTTTATAATGTGCCCAGAATGTATTAAGCTAAGTCTTTTCTAGAGGACAAATGCTGGCTTGGTGTTGTATTTCAAATGGAAGGTTTCCAGTGCTAACCGTTTCATCATGAACTTGGTTTCATATGGTGCTGGTAATGAGGTCACTGTTACTGCTGTTCACTATGATCCCATACTACTGAGGCATTGGGATTGTTTTATGTAATGGTTGAATTGGTAAATTAAGATCTTTCCATCTCTTCTATTTTATGTGTGTCTGATATTAATGCTTTCTTTCTTGAGAACTTTTTCATGTGCTAGGTTTGCACTTATATGAAAGTGCTATTGTTTCTGACAACTTTAAGCAAATATATTGGTTATTAAAAATAACAAATCATCTGCTTTTTTCAATTTTATTTCTCGTTGTCCTGAACTTTTCCACCCTCTAAAATGAGCCTTAAAACAGCAGCATGTTTTTACATCTACTTCCTGTCCATAATTGCTCTCACAGTATGTATCACATATAGGCCAACCCACTGGAACTGAATGACTCAGATGTCCCATTCCTTCTCCCTTCATTGTGGCAAACAAACATCTAATTGCTGAAAGAGATTGCTCCAGGCTAGCTTAAATGAGATCCAGAAACTCCACATTGTTACTGTGATCACTGCTTAAATTTCAGTGGACACTCATACCAGCTTCACTAAAAAGCAAAGTGATAATGCATAAAAACAGCTGTGTTGTGCTACACTGCCTCACTGGTGCCTCCAGTGAGGAACTCCAGGGAAAGTAATTTTTTCAACATATATCAAATATTCTAAATTCAGGCAGTGTTTTAATTTATTTTTCTCTAGTAATGGAAACTTGAGCTTAATTGTTTTTAGTTTACATTTCAAAATAAAACCTCTTAAATCAGAGTAAGTTGTAAGTAAATTATTAATTGAGAGGGAGAGGCAGTCTGTGGTATACTGTATTTGTACATGAAGCTTTTACCTCTAAATTATCAAGAATGACTAGTAATATTAAGTGCTTCAATTTTGGGGTATTCAGTTTCCTTAGGCACCCTAAAAGAGAACTGTTTTTCAAAGGGCAGACTCTTAGCACTTTTGCAACTAGACTAAGATGTCTTAAACTGGACACCCAGTAATTGAGGCACTCAAGATCATGTGCTACTTTTGAATTCTTCAATCTGAAACATGCGTGTTCCAAATAAATCAAGTGTTGTGGGGGTCTCTTCCTATTTCTTATTTGTGAACCAACATCAGCATACAATTAGGATTGATAGGCAGCTTCCACTCAAAAAAGCTACTTTGGCAGCACAACATTTAAAACCAGCTCTGTGTCTATTGAGCAGGAGTGAGTTTGGCAAAAAGAGTTAAAATGCTGGTTTTGCTGTGTTTGAAGAGTTATCGGTGGTTGTGGCTCCTTCACACTTGCATTTTTGATTTTTTTTTAAATAGTTTTCCTATTTTAGATGTATGGACGATAGCAAGGAAACTATTAGCCAGAATGGGCAAGGATGGTGTCCCTAGCTTCTCTTTGCCAGAAGCTGGAAATGGACGATTTGATGATAACCAGTTCTGTTCATTCCCTCTATGGCACCTGGCTTTGGCCAGTGTAGGAACACAGAATACCTTGTATCTGACTCAGTCTGCCAATTGTTACGTTCTGATGTTCTCCCTGCTTACATCAGTCCAGTTGTGATAATTTTAGTAGTAGTTTGCTTGGATTTGTCTTTCACTAAAAAGCTCTAATTTTTTTTGTCAGTAGCCTCTCTGCTGATTTAAATTTTGCTGACTTCTAATTTTATAGCTCTGAGACTTACTGCGATCTTGGCTAATTGAATGCCGAAGCATACTGTGCTCCTACGCTATTGAGGCTTAGTGTATGCTGAGAACATTAACAGAATAAAATATGTAGATTTTGATATTAAATTTGGTAAATGTATGCAGAAACAAATTTGGAAATTGAGTCAGTATAGTTTTAACATAAGATAGTAATAGAAATGCTGCATGTAAGTTGGAGAAATGTTTATGCATAAACTGATAGTTACCAGAATTCCTGCCCCTTCCCAAATTGGTGTTGTATAGAAAAATGTCTGTCTGAAAAAGAGCTCTGTGCAAGCTCCTTTTTTCAGCAAAAGAAGTTGGTCCAATAAAAGATATTACCATACCCACATTTTTTCTCTCTAATTTTCAGTATTAGAAAATTCAGTATTTCTCCAATATATTTTATAAAAAACACAGATTAAACATACATTATTTCAGGTTGAACCTCTCTAGTTTGACTTTCTCTGGCTCAGTAATGTCCATGGTCCAGCATGATTTTAGTTAGCCAGATGTCCACTTATCATGGGTTTAGTCATGTTTCCTGCAGACCCACAAAATTTCTTTATAGGCTTTGTGTTCCATGCTGTTATTTAGCTCTAATTTACCCCTACATGTTTTCTAAGAGCCCCGAAAGAAGTGGAAGCATTGGTAATGCTGCTAGACAATATTGACCTCCTGTGGTTCAGCAAATTCTCTGGTTTTGCCCTTGTCCTAGGGTGCCAGAATCTCTAGAGGTTCAACCTGTACAATGTACTGAACTGTACTGAGCTTATTTACAGTTGTTGCTTTATCATTTATACTGGCTTGTTATGCATGCTGCTTTTTCTATTAAATTGTTTGTTATTCTGAAATAGATTTTTTTTTTACTGTAGTTAAACTAAAACCAGCTAGCTACGATCATATTTAACCTTTTATTCAGTTAAGAGAGATGTAATTAAGGAAATAAAGCCTTGAGAAAAGCGCCGAAGTATATTCAGCCTTAAAGCAGACACAGCATTTGGCACTTGTTTGGAGGAAGTTGCCTAAAATTATCAATGTAAATTAAAGTTTTAAAAATATTTGTATAAAGAAACTTGAATATACTTTTTGTACTATTATGTGGTTATTGTTTTGGTGATTGTGAATAGTGTTTATCTTTGTTTTTATCCCTACTATTTCTTTCCTTTTATTTAATTACTGTAAGAATAGAAAACATTTGTAAACTTAACAGTTTCAGTAAAGTCTTCAGTAAACTCTAGTATAGTAGCTTTGTTTTGTTATGAATGTATTTATTGTTAAATTTCAATCATTAAGTTTTTGCACTCATTTTTAAAATAACTCGTATTTTCAAATTAACATTTTGGGCCCAAACTATCCTCTACTATATGGTGTAAAGATGAAAGAAATTAAAATTTTCAAGTGCTGACTCT